AAAAAAAAAAAAGAAAAGAAAAAAGAAAAGGAGAAAATGCGACATACCTCTTAATGCTGAGCGTGATATGTTTATGTTCCTTTGGTTCACAACACTTCCTGTCTTGAAGAGACTTCCTCAAAATTCTTCGTCTGCTCCCAGCAAACCGAATTTATCGTTGAAAAAGTTGCAAAATGTTTCTCACACTAAGGTTACCCAATTCAATTTATAGCAAAGCTTGAGTCATTTGCTCCTCACACCATACCAATATGCTATAAAGTAGTGACTCTGATGATTTGAGGAGAATTAAATTCTAAGCTCACCCGGCTTTGCGCTTGTTCCTGGTGATGGCGTTGGATTCATATTACTCTTAAATAACCATAGTTAATCAGGTGATTACAGAGACCTGCGCTCTCTGATTGGTTTAAAGCCATACGTCAATGCATCCACTTTTCGAATGTTTATTACAAAACTGAGGCACTTATGCTTGACATTCACTTCAGTTTGAAGCGTTTTGAAAAATATAAAGGGCCATTTATTTGTCCGTTTAGATATTCAGGGATCAGAAAACAGACAAATTGGTGATACGCCCACACATTTCAGTTTAATCAAAGGCCCCATGCTTTCCAATTAAGAAGCTTCGCTGTAATTATTCCTCTGCACCCTGCTGATATTCCTTTAGTTTCGATTGATCAATGAAGTCTCAATGAGTGAGTTTCTGCCCCAGTCATTGTTCACCATCTGTTTTCCTTTCCAGCATGGCCACGAAATATCGAGAATTTTTTTATTCAGCCTATATACTTCACCTTTTACCATCCTAAAGTTCGGCTTTAGGAACCTTTAGGTTTAGAAAGTCTAGTCAAATGTGTTTTAATTCTATCCCGTTTGGTACATTGATGTAAGCAGAAAGTATAATCAGCGACGGTATATATCAGAAAGACTGCGCCATCCATGTGGTGTAATTACTTTGTGAAAAGAAGTTTGGTGTCTGATACGGACGGTATTTTCTAAAGAGATAATCTCGCTTAATAATTGTTTTTATAGTTTATTGAGGGAAAAAACTAGGGGTCGGAATTGAACCCCGCTATGTTGAATTGATCATCTAGAAGAGAAAATTCTAAATAAGATGGTGGAAAATGGGCAATTTGATATTTTGAGGGAGAAGTTCTGCGCGCCTCAGAGGGCGTTTACTTCTAGAAGGAAAACATCTCAAACGATTGTTCATCATTCGGTTACCAACCGTGTTTTTACTTGTTATAATACCTTGTTGTGAATACAGCGGAAGGTAAAAAAAATGAAATAAAATTGTCTGATAGTCATCTTCGATCATCTAGGCCTATAGTCTAGAACAATGCTATGAACTAATAATTCCCTGTTTCATATTATTCCATAACATTCACTTCGTTGGCGAATAATAATTAATCATTTTGATGCACCAGTCCACTAATGGATGCAATGCACTAATGAATTCAAACAGGAAAGCGCCAAGCTTAGCGAAATTAAGAAGGTTGTTTTTAACTGCGAAAAAGTATCTATTGGCATATTATTATAATTATGGAAATAACAATTTAAGAACACGAGTTTGTGAACAAGAAACAGAAAATTGGTACCTATGGAGGATCAACGAAAATTTAAAGTAAATAACCAAAAAACTATGGATGGAGTGTTGAAACTGAACATTTGTTTTGAACTTTCCATATCTCCCTTGACTTAGCTGTGATGTTTCCCATTTCCGCTCGGTTGGTTGTCAAGTCCACTTTCCGACTACTGAGAATTTCATGATAAACATAACCATGCCTGATAAACATTACCGCCCTCGCGCAAGAGACCACAAGACGGCTCTTGCTCTGCAAGAGTTCACAAGCAGGTGGAAGAAGAGAAATTACGCAAGTGGTTATTTTGCTTGACTAACAACGTTTTGGCTGATAGACGGCCCTTGTTTCCCGTTCTTGATCAGCTGTTACGCCTCCTTGGAACGGAGAGTTAGACGAGTAGTTTAGAAGCAGACTATATTTAACATACATATATGTTATTCACCAGACGGGAGGTCCGTATTGGGAAAAACTGTGTACACAAACGGTACACGAGCCAGAGGGGACAGTTTTTCCCAATACGGACCGACCTTGGCTGGTGAATAACATTTTTATTTTTTTCTAAAACCTAACAAATGGTTGCGAAAAGAACCTGAATAATAAAGGACCGTAATTACGACAAGATTCTCCATAAACAGAACAATTTATGAGCGAGTAGATGGTAGAGAAAACAAGGGCAATGCAAATGAAAGAGAGAGGTTTCATCAAAACATATTTATTTGCGTGATGATACTAGAAGGTGATTTAAAAGGCTTCCAAGAAAACTTCGAAACTTTTTTTTTAAAAGGATCGGATACCGCCCGCTGTGAGCGGGCCGGATGGGGAGAATACTGCCCGCTCTCAGAACCAATCAGATTGCAAGATTTGTAGAATACCGCCCGCTCACGAACTGAGAAAAAAATAAATAATGTTACTAAAATACCTTTTTGCATGTGAAGGCAGTCTGGCTTCACTTACTACATATTTCGCTAGGTCGATCGAAATGGTTTCTTCTATTAACTTTTTCCCACCATTTAAGCCAACGAGGCAACGTTAATGAGGGAAGCATGGTAAGCTACCTTTACGTTTGTATTATCATGCGGAAAATCACAACAACTAAGCTCCATGTTACGTCCTAAGTCCGGTCAAAGTATTTTAGAAGATGTGATCTGCATATATTCGGTGAGCTCAAGCGTGTAAAAGATGTCGCGTGGAGTTTGAGTCAATAAAAAGAATATCATGGCATGCATACATCCCTTCCACAAAAGATTCTTTACATGTGGCACGTCGGCTTCATAAATAGCTTTAGTGACATTAGCGTTTTAAAAAGAGCAGATTTCTTTTGAAACCTAAGATGGCTTCGACATTTTCGATTTTAGAGTTTTCAATTTTTTCCAAAAGGAGTAAAGACGCTTTGCATATCTTCCATTTTTGGCAGGAATTAAGCACAGAGGAAGTTGTTTGTTTTACGACAAGCGCTATTTTTAGATTTTCTGAACAGCGCCACAGCCCGAAACAGCAAAAGCATAACAATTTCTTTTAACGTTTGCAAGTATCTTATTGTGAGAAATTGAATTTAGCTCGGAAACAATTCAAAACCGAATGAGAATCGAAAATCAGCGTAAATAATGTTTTACTGTTTCACGCAGGTTGCAGTGTAGGTGACAAATCTAATAATTGCGCTTGTCGTAATCAAGATTTAAAAATTTAACAACTTCCTTTTTTTGCCTAATTCCTGTCAAGAAATGGAAGATATGCAGAGCACTTTTATTCTTTTTGGAACAGATCGATAGCTCTGAAATTGAAAACGTTAGAATCATCTAGGTAGAAGTCAAGGTAAAGTCGTCTCTTTTTTAAAACGCTGATGTAACTAGGGCTATTTACGACACCGACATACC